TTGCCATCTTCAATCTTGGGCAAGTCACTTGTCCTTTCTGATGCTTGGTTTCCTCATCTGCAACATGGGGATAAAAACTCTTACCTGGCAGGAGTATCAAGGAGATTATTAGTAATAATGCTCCCTCCTAACTGGTGGCTTTCTTCTGCCCTGCTCCTCTTCCCCCTGCCTATCCTTGGGACGCCGCCAGCATGATTAGTACTGTGGTGAGATGGGTTTTGGGGGCCCAGAGCTCATCTGCACCTTTGGAGGAAAGGAGAGGAGCACCTCTCCCCCTCCTCCAGGCCCCAGTAAGCCCAGAGTGCTGTCCTGGAGCCTCTGGACCTGAAGGAGGGCGGGCCGAGCCCCACCTGTCCCTCGTGATGAAGTCTCAATTTCCTCACCTGTAAATTGCAAATAACAGTAGTACCTGCCTCCAACTGTTTGTGGGGATCAAATGAAATTGCGTTTGCCTGGCATAGAGGAAGACTTTGGTAAATGGTAACTACTTTTTTTGTAACTGTTTTACAACGTGTTTTTGCTTCCATTCTCTCATTGACTCCTGTGAGGTGACAGAGCAGGCCCATTTTAGAGACAAAGGAACTGAGATTTTGAGCATTGGAGTCATTGGCCCCAGACACAGAACGTCTAAGAGGCAGAGCTCCACATTCCTAGCGCAGAGGTCTTACCAGTGTGCTTGGTGGATTCTGCCATGGGAGGAGCTGGGAGCAGTCCTCACCCACCCCAGGTTGGGCTGGCAGCCTCTGACAGCAGTGGCCACAGGTTAGAGCAGGGGCCATGGGGTATGTGGGGGTGGGGGTGCTAGGGTCACCTTGCTCAGGGTTGTGACCCATCCAGGCCTTGGACCTGGTCCCTGTGGTTGAGTTTTGAGGCCAAACTGAAGCCAGTGGAGTTAAAGTTAGACTGGAACGCTGCTCTCAGTTGTGACCTGTTCCTCCCCGTCAGGGTCCCCACTAGGATTAGCATGAGCATTGCTTATTTGTGGAGAAACAAGCCCAGAGAAGGGCAGCACCTTGCCGGAGGGGAGGACTCCTGGGGATGGGAGATCTTCATTCCCCAGTCTGCACCGGCCTCAGCATCTCCAGCAGGTAGAGCGGCAGGTGCTAGCAGTCAGCACAACATGGAAGTGGTATGCAGAGGGGATAAGGGCGGCCATTGACAGCACCAGGGAAGGTCCCTGTGAGAAGGTGACTCAGTACACACCGGTGAATCCCAGGAGGGAGGAGTCTGGGAAGAGCGTTCCAGCCAGAGGGAACAGCAAGTGCAGGGAATGGTGAACTGGAGCCTAAGACTCTGCTTCTCACGGGCCTGGGGGCTGTGTGAGGGGCACGTGGCTTGAAGGAGTCAGAGGTCACCCACTGCCCACTGAGGGTCAGATACTCTTTTTGAGCAGCCCTACAGGGCTCTGCCTGATCCCACCAAGGGGCTTGGGCTGCAGGAGGCAGGTGTGGACTGGAGTCCCAGTGCTGTCGATTGTGAGCCATGGTCAGACTCCTCTGGGCTTCTCTATCTGTGAAATGGGAACACTGATCTATCCTGGACTCTTCTTTCAGTATGAGAATGGCCATGGACATGTTAAAGCTCTTTGCATTTGACCATTGGTAATGACAGTAGTTCACACTTGTGATACTTGGTATGTACCAGACAGGCTTCTAAGCTCACCTCAGGTGTGAACTCAATTCATCCTCAAGACAATCCCATGGATGGATACTCTTTTTTTTTTTTTTTTTTTAAGAGGGAGTCTCCCTCTGTTGCCCAGGCTGGAGTGCAGCATTGGGATCTTGGCTTAGTGCAACCTACGCCTCCTTGGTTCAAGTGATTCTCCTGCCTCAGCCTCCCAAGGAGCTGGGATTATAGGTGCCCGCCACCACGCGCAGCTAATTTTTTTGTATTTTTAGTAGAGACGGTGTTTCACCATGTTGGCCGGGCTGTTTTGAACTCCTGACCTCAAGTGATCCACCTGCTTCAGCCTCCCAAGTGCTAGGATTACACGTGAGCCACCACGTCTGCGGTGGATACTCCTTATTGCCGCTGTTATTTATTTATTATTTATTTATTATTTTATTTATGTTTATTATATTGGAGAGAGTCTCGCCTCTGTTGGCCCAAGGCTGGAGGGTGCAGTGGCCGGATCTCAGCTCACGCAAGCCTCGGCTCCGGTTTACGCCCATTTTCTCTGCCTCAGCCTCTCAAGTAGCTGGGACTACAGCGCGCCCGCCACCGTCGCCCGGCTGGTTTTTTGTGTGTTTTTTTAGTAGAGATCGGGGTTTCACCGTGTTAGCCAGGATGGTCTCGATCTCCCTGAGCCTCAGCTGATCTGCCGTCGCTCGCCTCCCAAAGTGCTGGGATTACAGGCTTGAGCCACCGCGCCCGGCCCCCTGTTTTTTATTTATTTATTTGAGACAGGGTCTCACTCTGTTTCCCATGCTGGAATGCAGTGATGTGGTCATAGCTTACTGCAGCCTCGACCTCCTGGGCTCAAGGGATCCTCCTGGGTAGCTAGGACTATAGGTGCACAACTGCCATGCCCAGCTAGTTATTTTTTGTAGAGATGAGGTGTTAACATGTTGTCCAGATTGGTCTTGAACTCCAGCCTCAAGCAATCCTTCCTTCTCGGCCTCCTAGAGCACTGGAAGTACAGGCATGAGCCACTGTGCCTGTCTTGTCTCTGTTTTAAAGTTAGGACACTGAGGTCCGGGGAGGTTCAGTGACTACGGACTCTAGAGCCTATAGCATATTTTTCTCTTACTGTGTAAGTAGGTACTTAGGACGTGGTAGCTGCTGCAATTTATCATTTTAAAACTTATTTTCTTTTGATAACAATCTCAACAGCTTTGACTTCCAAAATTTTCCTAGTACTTTTCACATCCAGAAACTTCTGATGATGCTCCTGAGGGGCTGAACCCATTTGTCAGATAGAATTATAGCCCAGAGAAGCAGCTACACTCCAGGTCAGGGCAGAGCTTGAGCCCTCTTCTGAGATGTTGTCATTCTGGCCTCTGAGGCCATTTCCCCACCAGGCTGGGGGAGACTGGAGGCCAGAGCCCCGGTCAGAGACTCCCCTGGCCCCTGGGTTTGGCTGCAACTCTCATGTTGCAGACATACCAGCCAGGCTGGGTCTCTGGGAGCAGCAGAAGGGGCACAAGGGCATTCAGCCCAGCTCTGACTCCTGGGTGGTTGGGGGGACCTTAACGAGGAAAGAGCACGTGTTCACAGCTGTAATTTAGACCAGGCATATGGTCTGTCCCCAGCTAACTCCGGGAGCAGGTCATCTGTAAAATTGCAGCGTTAAAATAGCACAGTCATTACCCACTACAGGGCCAAAAATAACTAGGACCGGAACAGGGCTGTGCACTCAGGCCTGTATTTGCCCGGGTCCTCCGGGAGCACCGGGAATAAGGCCTCCGGCTGTGGCTGGCAAGGGGGGCGGGTGTGGTCCTGAGCCCTACCAGTGAGCCTTCACTGAGAGCTCCCAGGTGCTGGTTTCTGTGGGGAGGGTGTGGGCATGAGGGGCCTTACGCTCTAGTGAAGAGATGAGTCACGTGCACAGACCACAGGAGGGAAGCAGCTTCCTAGAGAGAAAGGAGCATCTCAGTGGGGCCTGGGAACATGGGGGACAAGGGAGAAACAGGACCAGACTGGACGGCCACACTGGGCAGGCGTACACCTCCGTGCCAGGTCCTGGGGAAGCAGACATGAATGGCAGGTTCTTTAAAGGGAAGAGACGTGCGGGCAGTGCTTGGCGGTGGGTAGTGTGGCTGCGGGAGGAAGAAGAGATTTACGTTCAAGAAAGGCACCAGCAGCCTGCCCACAGGATGGATGAGGCCCCATTGGAAGGTGTACTGAGCACCTACGATGGGCCTGCCTCTCTGCTAAATTCTATAAACGTATCCACGGGCCACAACAGCCCCCAGGAGTCAGAGCTGTTGTTTCCCCCATTTTAAAATATGAGAAAATTGAGGCTCACGGAAGGTAATGAACTCACTCAAAATGACTCAGACATGAAGCATCGGAGCTGATATCTTAGGATTAAGGCCCTTGCTGTTAACCACAAGGCTACATTGCCTCAAAGGAGGCTTCCTGGAAGAGGTTGGATGTGTGGGATTTGATCAAGTGAAGAAAGGGCATTTGGGATAGAGGGAACTACCTGAGCAAAGGCACAGAAGTTAGACAGTAAATGTGACATTATTAGGAAGAAGCTCTGCATGGTTGGAGCTTCTTGGGGTAGGGAGCGTGTAGGGATATTGTGGGAGAAGAGACAGGGAAACTTAAAATCCCCTCACAGTCACTGGTCATCGTGGGGATTGTCTATAGTGGGCTGGGTGGGGTGAGGAGGGGCCCTCTGACTTGCCCTGTGACCTTGCACAGGTCCTGTCCCTGTCTGGGCTTCAGTTGTATCATCTATCAAGTGAGGGGCTTGAGCTGAGGGCCTAAGGCTGATGAGTGGCAACCAGTCTGTAAGGACGTGGTTAGAGGAGGGGAAGGGTCAGTCCAGGGAAGGAGGAATGCAGAAAAATGCTGAACATTTCAGGGGTCAGGGAGGACTAGGGAATGTTTTGACAGCAAAGAGATCACCAGTGACCTTGGCAGGCTTTGGCTCTTTGGAATGGAGGGAGCGGAAGTGGCTTTGGAAAGGGGCCAGGAAAGGGCTGAACCAGAGGAAGTGGGAGAATGGGGACATGAAAATGGGGGCTGGAGAGGGAGGGTGGAGAATGTTTGCCAGGGGTAGGAATGGATAATGAGATGTTCAAAACTTGATCAATCAGTATTGCCCGCCTGGGGCCTTGTGCTGAGAAACGGTCAGAGGGAAGTAGAGCTGCAATTGATTATCAATGTCTGCCAAGGGCACGGGCCATAGGCACAGTAGCACTTCTCTCCATTGCTGTCCTTGCTTAGATGGGTCTCAGGTTGAGAGTGGTGGTCTGGATATCCTAGCCTGCAGATGGGAAACCTTAGGTATTAGGAATACCTAATTCCAGGTGAGAAGAAATGCCTCTACCTCCAAAAACCTGATCTTTTGCTAGAATTAAGGTAGTTTGCTGCGTGATAAGGTAGTATGGTCTCATGGTCAGGAGCTTGGGCTTTAGAGTCAGTCTGTTTCCTCTCTGTAAAATGGGAATGAAAGAATGCCTGCTTGCAAGGTGGCTGTGAGTGTTAGAGGTGATGGTAATAGCTACAGCTTTATTATTGTTGTATCTTTGTTATATGAAAGCGCCGTTTTTCCCTGATGATGGTGCTGTTATTCTGAGCTTGAGAGCAGGGTTTGTGTCTGAGTTGCTCGGGGCCCCATCACTCAACCCAGGACTGGGGACACCTCAGGGACTTTCACATTCTTTTGGAGGATCAAATGGAATAGGCTTGTGCTTGATGGGACAGAGGATAAGGTCATGTTGGGCTTTGGGGTCATCTCAGTGGGGGCCCGGCCTTATGTTGAGGTGGAAGCCTGGGGGTGAGGGCTAGAGCTGAAGGGGCAGTGGGCCTGGGGCCAGGGCTGGGGATGGGATGGGGTTGTCCTCGTCATTTCTTCCTTGAGCAAGTATTGAGTGCTAGCTGCATGCCAGGTTCTAGATGACAGTCAGTAAGTCCCTGCTCACCTGATCTCAAGGCATGAGGGGAACTGGGCACATCTGTAAGTTCCTGTATAACCCTCCACAGCCCTGACACCTGTACCCTCTTTCAGATGAAGAAATGGCCTCAGAGAGGGACAGTGGCTTGCTCAAGGCAAATCCAGAGAAATGTGGGTGTACAAGGCCCCTTCTGGCTGTGGAGAGGGGGACCAGAGCCCCTGGAGGCCCAGAGCTCTAGGACAGGAGCTGAGAGGGGCAGCAGGGATCCAGACTGGGTAGGGGACCTGGTGATGCCACCTGGACCCAGACTTCTGCTCTTGACAGAGCCAGAACTCCAGAGCCAAGCGGAGCCTTGTAGTAGGGGCCCACATCCCTGCTGGAGCCTCAGCTGCCCTGGAACCAGCGATACCTAAACTTTCTTCCTGTGGCTTTTCAATCGGAGCCAGTGAGGAAGGCCCCAGGCAGAGGTAGGGAGGGCCCAGGACATCTCCCAGCCCCTCCCTGGGGGATGGTCTAGGGAAGCTGGCCCTGGCTACCTCTCATGGCCCCTGGAAACTGATCCCTGGCTGGATCCTGCTCTGTCCTTAACAAGATTGTGTGTGAGGCTGAAGAGCAGTTTTCTTTCTCATCTGTAAAATGGTGCAGTCATAACAAACACCTCCTACAAGCACAGCATCTGTGAGGGGATGGTAGAGGACAGGCAGGGGCTCTGGCAGGTGGAAGTGTGGGGTGTTCGTTCATCTTTGTTCATCTCCTTCCGAGGAGCCGGGGATGGTCAGAAACCACCAGCATAGCCCGATTTTCCCCTCATGCCCATCTGCCTCCGCAAGGCCCTCACCCATGTGGTGGGGCACTCTTTCCACATGTCCCTCCTGGTCCGTTTGCCCACCAGTGAGGCAGGCTCATCCCCTTATTTCCTGACATGTGTGTGGTTGGTGCTTTTAGAGGACTCTCGTTGTGGACCCTGCTCTGTGCCATTGCCACAGCCCAGAGAGGGGGGTGCAGTGTTAGTCCCAAAGAGGACAGGGGACTTCCCTAGGACCATCCAGGGAGTGGGAAGCAGAGTGGGTCTCGAGCCTTCTCAGATTTGGGAAATCACCTTCTCCTCTCCCCACCTAGCCTTACCCTACCCTGCTCTCCCTGGGCTACTGTCTCCTTCCCAGCCTCCCGCACGCCCCCGTTGGTCTCTACCGATGCGCACAGGGAGGAAAGCAGTGCAGGCTGGGGCCGTGGGAACCACTCAAGGTTGAAGTCTGACTCATTGTATGTGGCCTTCATCTCATGACTTTGCCTCCCTGAGCCTCAGTCTTCTAATCTGTAGAATCACTATCTCACAGGATTGCACTAAGGATTCAGTAAGAAATGGTATGGTTTGCCCTCAACAAGTGCTAGCATTGAAGTAAAGAGGGCTCCGGGCTTGAAAACGGGGCTCGAAACTTGGCTCTTGCACTTCCTGGCTCTCTGGACTTGGTTATGTGATTGAGTCTCCATGGCCTCCATGTCTTTGTCTGTCAATGGGTTTGATAAAAGCGTTGACCTCATAGGTTCTTAAGGAGGATTAATGAGAACATTTTAGGTAAAGCTGCTTACATGGAGCCTTGATATGTGCCAGAAAGCTTTAGCCTTTTATTAAAAGTGACAGTAGGCCCGGCGCGGTGGCTCATGCCTGTAATCCCAGCACTTTGGGAGGCTGAGGCAGGCAGATCACTTGAGGTCAGGAGTTCGAGACCAGCTACTCGGGAGGCAGAGGCAGGAGAATTGCTTGAACCTGGGGGGCAGAGGTTGCAGTGAGCTGAGATCACACCACAGCACTCCAGCCTGAGTGACAGTGAAACTCAGTCTCAAAAAAAAAAAAAAAAAAAAAAAAAGACAGTAGTGGTGGGGGAGACCCCCAGCCAACTTGCTGGGGTTTCCTAGGAAAGAAGGCTGGTGAGAGCTGTTGCTGGTGGTGGGCCCTGAGCCGCAGGGTCTGAGGGCCTTCCCTGTCCTACCCCAGAGCTGCCTGAGAACTGGACGGACACTCGGGAGACGCTGCTGGAGGGGATGCTGTTCAGCCTCAAATACCTGGGCATGACGCTGGTGGAGCAGCCCAAGGGCGAGGAGCTGTCGGCCGCCGCCATCAAGAGGATCGTGGCTACGGTGAGCACCCCAGTTGGGAAGGGCGGAGGGACCAGGGACCAAGGACCAGCTTCTTCCCAGGGTGCCCTTGTCCCTGCTTGTTACTCCAGTTGGGTGTGTCTGAGTCTGGCCCTGCCCTTGATTCTCCTTCCATCCAGCTTTTGGGCCTTGATAGAGGGAACCACTGGACTTGCAAAGTCACGGTCAGTGGCTTCCCTCCAGCCGTTATGACCTCTTCCAGCCTCCCCACCCCCGCCTCAGGCTCCCTACCAATGCATTGGTGACTTATCAGTGCCAGGAAGGGTGGGGAGGTTGCTTTCCCTTGACTACCTGCTCAACGGCCTGAGAGACAGCATAGCACATCCTAGAGCACATTGCCCCCTCCCTAGCTTTGAGCAAGGGTGGGCCTTTTAAATCCACTTCCCTTGGTGGCCTCGGACCCCTCAGCTCAGTGGATGGAGCAGAGTCCCCAAGAGTCATCCTGCTGGGTTGTGCTAGCTCATTCAGTGCTGAGTCTGTGTGCCCTCCTAGCTGTGTGTCCTTGGGCAAGTCCCTTAGCCTCTCTGAGTCCATCTCCTTCTGGGGAGAGGGAGGATGACTCGAGGTCCACGGTGCCTGACAGATAGCTGGTGCTCAGCGGATGCTGCTCCTGTTTCTGTTACAAGAGGGTGCTGGCTGAGTGGTCTTCCCCATGCCGCTGCCAGTCGCCTGAGCTGAGATGGGCCCCGCGTCTGAGTCCTAGGAACAGTGTGGTGTAGGCCATAAGCGTGGGTCTCAAGTGAGGCTGGCAGACTCCTCTGACTCCTGTCTGCCCCAAGGCTAAGGCCAGTGGGAAGAAGCTGCAGAAGGTGACTCTGAAGGTGTCTCCACGGGGAATTATCCTGACAGACAACCTCACCAACCAGCTCATTGAGAACGTGTCCATATACAGGTACGCTCAGCATGGGGTTGACCCATTGACTCTGCCACTGGAGTGTCCCATCTGAATCCAGGCTCTACCGTTTCCTACCTGGGTGACATTGGAGCCTCAGTTTCCTCATCTGTAAAATGGGGGTGGGAACAGGTCCTGCTGCACAGTGCTGTTAGGAAATGCCGAGTGCATGGCACCTGGCTCACGATGAGCACTTGGTTAAGTGGCAGCTGCTGCTGTCATCATCACCAGTTACAGAAGACAGCTGAGCCTGCCTGTGCCCCGCCCCCTAGTCCCCACCAGCATGCCTCTGAGCCGGGCTTGGAGCAGAGAACTGCAGAGTCACTGCCTTTTCCTCCTTCTGTGAATGCAGCGGCTCAGCTCTGGGTATCTGGCCAGGCATTCCAGGGAGGCCTCAGCCAAGATCTGAGGTCAGTATGGATGGTCTCTCTAGTGGGTCCTCTGGTCAGCCCTTAGAGCCTCAGGCTATCCCCACCTCTCTCAGCTGGTCAGTTGTAGTTTTTCAGAACCGGAAGGGATAGCTCAGGTCCATTTTACAGATGGAGAATCTGAGGCCCGGAGAGGGGATTGCCTACGGCTGCACGGTGAGGTAGTAGCTGAACTGGAACTAGGATACCCAGGCCAGAGCCCTGTCCAGCAGGCTCCCATCTGCCAGGCATCCCCCCACCCTCTTGCTTTGTCTCCAAGCAAATGGCTCAGCCCGTTGGTGCACAGGCCAGTAGTAGGGTGGATAGATGTGTGTTGTGGGGGCCCGGGTGATGTCTTCCTCTCACTGGCCTGATCATACCTGCCTGCCTTTAGTCAACAGTTTCAGATACCTGTTCTGCCAACATCTGTGCCAGATGAGGACTCCAATCCTGCTCATGCCCTCAAGGAGCTTCCACTCTAATTGGGAGTAGTTGGGAGGAAACAGGAGATAGAGCATAGTGTTTTCCAAGAAGGCAAGGAGAGGGTCTGCCCGGGGAAATCCAGGAAGGCCTCCCAGGGGAGGTGGCACCTTGTTGGGGCTTGAGGAATAACAGGATCTAGTTTATTGATACCAAGGACCCAGTAACATTTAGAGCAGGAAGCTGGATCCCCTGGGATGGAGAATAGGTAGGAAGGGCCCTGGCACCTTCAGCTCTGCCCACCTGGAGTGTTGATGCCTGTGATTAAAGCTGGGGCCACGTGGTTGAGGGATGGGTCTGTGGCACTCCGGTCCCACCTCTGGGCTGCCGGCCCCTCCCCGATTGAGACTCTGAGGCTGACTAGAGGCAACGAGCTGGGACCAGACATGTGAGGGAGGGTGGGAGGCCGAGGGCTTGGGTGGCCCCAAGGTTACGGGTGGCGACTGGGGGCAGAGAGGATGCTCCATGTAGAGGGAGTTGCTGTGTGTCTCCTCCCAGGCCCACTAGGACTCCTTGTTGGGTCCTTGTCACACACACCCCACCCCTACTCCCAACTCTTCCACCCCTGGCCACAGCTCCAGAACATGCAGATGGTCCCAGCCACCCTGAAAGAGACGGACCCAAATCTCACTAGACCTCTGGGCGGGGGCATGGGTCGGAGGGCAGATGGGATGGGGGAGGCCAGGTGAAGGGCATCGGTGAGCAGGGGAGTGTCCTGCTTTCTGCTTCCCCTTCCAGCCAGTTGGCACATAGCCTTAAGAGGCAGCATGGCAGTCATGGCCTGTGGAGTCCTACAAGTGAGTTCAGGTCTGGGCTCCGGTCTTTAGCCTCAGTTTATTTCATCTGAAAAACGTGGATAGTGATAGAACCCATCTCAGAGGGTAGCTTTGAGAATTACATGAGGCGAGATCTAGAAAGCTCTTGGCACATTGCCTGGTATGTGGTAAGGGTTCAGCTATTACTGTTTTGGGGTGTGGCTCAGTGTGGGATGGGAGGAAGAGGGGAAGTGCCCTGCTTCCAGTCTTTACCCCATTCCTTCCTTCCTGCCTGGCCTCGGCCCCTCCTGCACAGATGGCCTAGGTACCCACCCTGGAGGCCAAGGCTGGACTCTCAGAGTCTGCCCTGGTGGAGTGGGAATAGCAGGTTCTCTGCAACTCAGGGGAGCTGCCCTACAGGGCATCCCACATGTGCTCAGGCCCCCGTGCCAGGTCCGGTGATACTTCCTCCTTGCCTTTCAGGATCTCCTATTGCACGGCAGACAAGATGCATGACAAGGTGTTTGCATACATCGCACAGAGCCAGCACAACCAGAGCCTCGAGTGCCACGCCTTCCTCTGCACCAAGCGGAAGATGGTCAGCGGGGAGGGCTGGGGCTGGGGCAGGCTCCAGCAGCCTTGGCAGCCCTGCTGTGGGTGGGGGGCTGTCTGGTGTGGGAGGCAGGACCCAAAGGTGACCATTACTGAAGAAGAGGGTGAAATCCCTGGGAACCCCAAGTGGGTGCTGAGAGCTAAGTGGTACAGTGGTGAGGCTGCCGGCAGGCAGATGACCCGGCAGTCAGCCTGGTGTGGGCGGTGGCTAGCCCGTGTCCCCAGTGTTTGTCTGGGCCCCTTTCTCTCTGTAACGTGATTTGTTGGGGTTGAGGCTGTTTTGGATCTGCTGTCTTTAATATGGTCTAGGGGTGCAGGGCCTTGTAGGGATTGGTCCTCGGAGATGGGAGATCGGGGGGCCTGGGGTGGAAGGCAAAGGCGAGAGCCATCAGAGAACTGGGCTTGCTGTGACCAGAGTGAGGAGGGCAATGGCCATTTCTTGGTGCCTCCTGCGTGTCCATTCCAGCTGTGACCGGAGTGTGGAGGGCAGTGACCATCTCTCAGTGCCTCCTGTGTGTGCATTCCAGTGCTAGGTTCCAGGTCTTTACTCGTTTAATCCTCACAGCTCTGCAAGGTGGGAACTGTTACTCTCTCCATTTCTTTTTCTTCTTTTTTTAAATTTTCAATGAGGAAACAGACTCCCAGAGGCCAGCTGTCTTGCTGAGGGTAACACAACCAGTCAGGGTTAGAGTGGGGGTTTAAACCCACGTTTCTTCCCCTCCCTGCGTGACTGGGAAATTCAGAGTTCCTTGTCTCATTTCCAGGACACCCCTGACCACATCTTAGCCGGGATGAGTGGGAACCTTGGTGGTCACTGGGGATTCGTCCTGAATTTGGGGGCAAGGAGTGGAGTGGGTCAACCTTTGGCATTGCAGCTTTTGTTTCTGAGACCCCCAGGATCTGAGCATCCTTCCTATAAGGTGCTTCCTGACACCCGTTGATGGAGCATTGACACCTGTTGACCTCTGTTGACAGCTCAGAGCCCCAGTCCCCATGCCCTGTAGCCCTTGGAACCTATAGGAGACAAGATCCCCTTCCCTCCGCTGTCATCAAAGGACCTGTCAGGTCCGTCACAGTCTTTGTGGTCCCCAGGCTTCCTGCTGCCCATCAGGGCACACTTCAGATATTGTGTAAGTTGTAACAAATGATGACAAACTTAGTGCCTTAAAACAACACAAATTTATTGTCTTATGGAGAAGAAAAATGTATTCTGTGACAGAGGTAGATGAGGAGTCTAAACTAGGTTGGCAGGGTTGCGTTTTTTTCTGGAGGTTCTAGGGGAGAATCCATTTCCTTACCTTTTCTACCTCCCAGAGACCGACCACCTGCACTTCCAGGTTCGTGGGCCTGTCCTCATCTTCTGAGCCAGCAATGTAGCATCTTCCGGTCTCCTGATTTCGTTGTTACATTGCTGCTTTTAGCTCTGACTCTCCTACCCCGCTCAACACTCCTTGTGATTACATTTGGACACACTGAGTAATCTGGGATAATCTCCATCGCCAGATCCTTAACCCACATCTGCAAAGCCCGTTTGCTGTGTAAGGCAGCATTCACAGGTCTCAGGGATTAGGATGTGGACATCTTGGGGGCAGACACACAATTCAGCCCACCACAGGTGTCATGGAAGAGGCACTATAGGAGGAGACAGTCTAGCCATCTGATCCTGGCCGATTTGCTGTGTTACCTTGGAGAAGATCCTGCCCTTCTCTGGGCCGCTTGCCTGTCAGCAGAATGAGAAGGTTGCCTCAGTGACCTCCAGGGTTGTTCTGAAAGGCCCCAGGTTCTTTTGAACACCTTGTTTCTTTCCTGCAGACTCAGTGTCACTGGACATTTGCCTCGTGAGGTCCCAGGGCTCCAAGTTGCTGTGGCATCTCCTGTGAGTTCCCACAGATGTGACTCGTGGCTTTGTCTTTTAGGAGCCCATGCAGACTTAAAAATACAGCTCCTTATGTCCCCATTGTTCATCTCTTCCTCCCTGCTGACCAGGGCAGGCCCTGGGCTTGGACAGCTGGCCTTGGGTGGGAGGGGCCTTCGACAGTGCAGAGGCTTCCTCTGGGATGAGGGGTCTGGGAGTAAGAGAGGTGCAGGCCCAGCTCTTACAAGGGAGACCTGGCCTGTGGTCAGAGGACTTCACACAGACTTGAGCGAAATCAGCCTACTCTCAGGCCATGGGGTGAATTACTGAGGAAAACAGAGCCAGGCCACTGCTCAGCCACTGACTGCAGAGCCCTGACCGGGCAGCAGGAAGGGCCCCTGCCAGACACCCAAATTCTTCATCTTTCTTAGTGTGTTCTTCTCTGGGGTTGGGTTGATGGCTGGAGTGGCTTATCTATCTCCCTACCCTTTGCTGCCTGGCCTCCCTGCTTCAGGGGCCCTGCGGAGCCCTCTCCAAGACAGCCCAGCCCAGCATGGTGTAAATACATCACCTGCTGCCTCAAGGTCTTAGCCCAGCCCGGGCTGACAGTGTGTTGATGACCTCGTCGTGTTGGAAATCCTAGATTCTTGAGCTAAGTGGAAGTGTTCTTGGGGGAGGCAGGAGATGGAATGGCTGTGTCAGCCTCCGCACCTGCTGGCAGCTCCGCCACAGATGTTTGGCACCGTCTGTCCTGGTCTGCGCCATGGAGAAAACATCCAAGGCGGTAGAGAACAGTCCAGCTTCAGTATCTGGAACCCAGGGGGGCTTAGTTCTGGGGTGGAAGTTAGTAAATCTCACGGGAGAGTCAGTGAGACTTCCCTGAGACAGACACCTGGAATGGGGCTTTGAAGGCTGAGGAGCCAGGAGGAGTTTGCTAGGCCAAAAGAAGGGGGTGGGGTGGTGGGTGGTGAGTGCACAGCAGCACGGGATTAACACACGTGCAAGCACAGAGGGGCAAAGTGAAATGGTTCCGCTGGGGTGGGTGGTGAGGCGGCTTCCATTTGCAGCAGGCCTTGAATCGGGATGTTGACAAAACCGCACTCATTGTGACTGGGGGCCTCCACATCCCTACTCTTCCTGGCTGGGCTGCCTGAATGAGTTCATGACCCATTCAGGTTGGGGGAGAGGGGCTCCTTTCTACATCACCCACCAGTCAGTTGAACTCTGGGGCAGCACAACCACCGCAGCTCTCCCCTCCCTGGTGCTGCTGGGCACAGCCAGCATTGGGTTCCTCCAAGGACTCCCTTCCATCTGCCCAACTGGGAGGCCTCTGGGCTCCAAAGTGAAGGTGTCATGCAGCTGCTGGGCCTGGGCTGATGGTAAGCAAAGTGCTACCCGCATTTCCACCTGGGGGGCACATGGCTGTCTTGGTCCGAGTTTCTGGCCCCTTTTGAGCCATGAGCAGCCTGGTTCCTGGGAACAAGGAATGTGAAAAACTGGGCAAGGTAGCATCCAGTCAGGATAGTAAGGCAGACCTGCAGGCCAGAGGCAGTCAGGAGGGGCGGGCATCCCGCCTGGGCAGGCCCGAGCAGTCCCTCACCTAATGCTGGTCCTCGGATTCCTGCAGCCACCCCAGGAAGCAGGGCCCACCCCACTCCCAGTCCCTGCCCAGCCTGGGCTTCCAGCCACCTGCACACATCCACCTCTTGGGTTGTATTCGGTTTAACTTACAGCTTGGGACTTCAGGGCAAAAGGGTAGGAATGTATGCAAATGAACAAGCAGATTTATGCAAACAGAATTGGAAGGGCTGGGCCCTTCCAGTTCTGGCTTTTCTGTTCTTCAATTCCAAGGGCTAAGTCCACAGGTAATTAGGGAGGGCTTCTTGGAGGAGGTAAGCCTCACAGTTCGTTGAATTTAGGGAAGCCCAAAGGGGAAGGAAAAGACATGGAGGTGAACAGCCTTTGCAGTCTAAGCTTGTGTCTCCAGATTTCCAGCAGGCTTAAATAATGGCGTTTTCATATCCCTGCCACATTGGGTGACCAGCCCTTGCTTGGGTGGATAGTGATCTGACTTGGGCTGGTAATTAGCCCATATTTTTAGTTCATGGGCAATTCTCAATGGTAACTGGGTCTATTAAACTTGATTCAGATATGACAGCTTAAATTGTAAACAGCTGCGAAGAGTTTCATACTTAATTACCATATTTAAGTTTTGCCATAAAGTGCCTGTACTTCCATCAAAAATGTAAATGTTGGAGACATTCAAATGAGGTTTTATACTTTTGTGAAGTTTAATTGGCACGGACCTGTCAGTTTGTTTAGGAATTTTAAATATTTTTTTTAAAGGAGTTTTAAAGGCAGTGGCCACAGGTCCGTCTCTCAATTAAATTGAGTTGTCTGGGGGAGGGCAGGGAGTGGGGCTGAAGCTGGTAAGGCCTGAACTTGTTGTGAACTTGAAAGAGGCTGGTGCTTTCTTCTCTTAGCCAGGGCTTCAGAAGGAAGCTAGATGTTTCCGGCTGTAGCTGCGAACTCTGGGACTTCCACTCCCAGAAGCTGAGTTGATTAACCCTGGACTGGAATGGCTGAGAGAGCAAGGTGTTGAGATGAATATGAGCTGGGGATAGGTCCTGGCTGGAATGAGGCCTGCCCCTCAGATGAATGTAATTCACCCAGCATTGTTGCCACCTCTGGGAGGCTTTGGCCCGCTCCAGAGGGCGGGGGTGTTCAGACTGATTCTTGCTTTTAGGGTGCACACAGCTGGGGGAAACACAGGCAGGGGAGCCAGTGACACTTTCACATGCCTGGTGCCAGAGGGAGGTGGGTGGGGCTAGAGGAGTCTGGGGCTGGTGATAGGAGAGAGGTGGTGACAGATATCTGAGCTGGGTTTGGAGGGGTGTGGGGGGAGTTCCCCCCGGGTGAAGGGCCGAGGTGTGGCCCTTCCTTACAGGTGGCACTGACCTTATAGCACTGACCGGTTTTGGTCCCCGGGCCTTCATTGACATCTTGCTTCTATCAGGAAATTGACAAGCCTTCTACTCTTTGTGGTATCCAGTTATAAACCCTGGCATAGTCCCAACCGGAACCTAACTTTCACCTCTCTGGCTGTGGCTCATTTGGGGCAATGGCTGGGCCCTTCCAATTCTGGCTTTTCTGTTCTCCAATTCCAAGGGCTAAGTTAAGTCCACAGGTAATTAGGAAGGGCTTGGAGGAAGTAAGCCTCACAGTTCATTGAATTTAGGGAAGCCCAAAGGGGAAGGAAAAGACATGGAGGTGAACAGCCTTTGCAGGCAGGGGCCCTAGAGTGAGGGTGAGAACTTTGGTGGGACCAGAGATGGTAAAGATGAAGCCCCTACTGCCTCTGCGAGGCTGTGGCCTTATGACACGCCAGGCTGCTTTGGAGACCTGGGAAGGGCCAGGACCCTTCTCTGCCCAGGAGGCATTCCAGAGCCTGGGATGGAGCTGCAGAAGCTGCAGGGAGGGAGCCAGGGGTCCTGGCCTGGAGTCCCCAGCCCTCCAGTGCAGACTTGCTCTGCCCTGGCTGACGCTGCACCCCTCCCCATCCCCACTTCCTGTTTTCAGGCACAGGCTGTTACCCTCACCGTAGCCCAGGCCTTCAAAGTCGCCTTTGAGTTTTGGCAGGTGTCCAAGGAAGGTGAGACTTTGCATCTACATTGTGGGTGTGGTGGGAGGTGGGGAGACACGTGAAGGCCCTGGGGTCAGACCTAGACCGACTTCCTGCTTTATCACCCACCTGACTTGTGACTGTGAGCCGGTCCCTTCACCGCTCAGACTCTCGGTGTTCCCATTTGAAAAATGGGAACAGCTGTCTCCCTCCCCAAGGGTGCTTGTGAGGATTAACTGACATCCGAAAGGTTTCTTTCCTCCTGGCTGGAAACCTGAAACTGTCCCCTGAGATTGGCCACAGCTAATCACCCCTGCCCGGTGATTGCTGGGGACGGAGTGCTGGGGTCTGAGGCTCCAACATGTTGTGCCTTCATCCTGCAGAGAAAGAGAAGAGGGACAAAGCCAGCCAAGAGGGAGGGGATGTCCTGGGGGTCCGCCGAGACTGCACCCCCGCCTTGAAGAGCTGTGAGTCCTGACAGGGAAGCGGGGTTTGGCCGTGGGGTGTTGGGGTTGTGCTTCACCAGGGGGTCCCGCTCCTGCCTGGGCTGGGGCAGCCTCTTGGTTTTCCACTTTTGTTTTGTTAGATAAATAATACACGTTCATTACAGATTAATTAGAAAATGTAGATAAGGGGAAGAAATAACTCATTTTAGTACATTTTCTTCTAGAGATATATCCCTATGCAAATATATAAATATGTGTCTACCTTTGTATATACTTAACATACTGTTGTGTGGTCGCTTAAGAAAACTTAACTATTGTGAATACAAAAGTTTCAGTCTAAGCCATTAGTCAGGTTCTCACTCTGTGGGCAGCTGTGCATCTGCCGTGGGGAGGTGCCAGGGCTGGGCTCTGCTAGGAAGCCTGGGCAAGGCCACATCAGAGGGGAGGGTCAGGGCCAGGACAGCCCAGGAGGGGGCCAGGAAGGAAGAGGCTGATCTCCCACTGACAACCTGACCGGATCCCTCACAGTGGTCGCCACTGGGAACCTGCTGGACTTAGAGGAGACGGCTAAGGCCCCGCTGTCCACGGTCAGCGCCAACACCACCAACGTGGACGAGGTGCCACGGCCACAAGCCTTGAGTGGCAGCAGTGTTGTCTGGGTGAGTGGTTGTGTGGCCAGCAGATTGGTGATCCTCAGCCTGACCTCTGGGCAAGCCTTGGGCTGCTCCAGGGACCAGGCCCTGGGACCTGTGACTTGTGGGCCTCTGGGAAGACCAGACCCAGCCCGGTAGTGCCCAGGCCCAGGATGGGGAATAAACAATGTCCCTTTTGAACCTGAGGCTGCGTCCCCAACAAGCTTGGCTCCCAGCACAGCTGTCTCCTCACAATGCTTGGCCTCTTGGCCTGAGCGTCCACGGCTCTGCCCACCACAAGACCAGCCAAAGGCGCCCTTGTTCTTGGCGTGGCAGAGCTCGCTGCTGACACCCCTCCCCCTCAGCTGCCTGAATGAGGACCCAGAGACTTGGGCAGTCACCAGCTTGGTCCCTGACTCCCTCAGGGACTCAGGACAAGCCCCGTGACCTCTCTGTCTCAGCTTTTTCATCTCAGTGAGGGTGATGACCTCTGCCAACAGAATCTCCCCGAGGAACCTGAAATTTTAATTTTTCATTTGGAAATAATTTCAGACTGTGTTATAAAAGTAGTACAAAGAATTCCTGTTCACCCTTCATCCAGATTCCCCAATTTTTAACATCCTGCATAACCACATTACAGTGGTCAGAATCAGGAAACAAACACGATACCATGCGGTTGTGTATAATCTGTAGAACTTACACGTTTCTCCAGGTGCCCCTCCGGTGTCCTGTTTCTGGCCCAGGATCCATTGCAGAATCACATGTTAACTTGTCTCTTTAATTTTTAAAAATCTGGGTACTGGGAGTTCCCCAGGTGTCCCTTGAGCCTGTTCTCTGCTGTTCAGGAACTACCCTTGCCACTTGCCCATCCTCACCAGCAGGCCATGGAGGGACCTCACCCATCGCTCTATGGGACTCCTGGCATCAGTTATCCCTCATGAGCTTGGAATTTTGGCTTGGCTTTTGGAAATAAATGAAGGCAAGAAAACTTCCTTCCCCACCCTCTTCCTTTTGGAATTTGAAAGCCATAGAAATTATCAGGTCCAACGCCCTCCTCTTACGGAAGGACAAGCTGAGTTTCAAAGAGGAGCAGTGACTTGCCCAAGGTCTCATGGGCAGGTAGCAGTGGAGCAGGGCACTGAACCCACCTGAGTCTCCAGACACTCTAGGACATGCCCTTTCTCCTCTCCCACGTCTCCAGCTTTGGGTCCTTGGGCTGAGATGCTGGCAATGCACCCAGGCAGGAGGCCTGCCTGAGCCCGTGCCTCCAGGCGCCTACCTTGAGCTTGTGTCCTGAGCCTCCCTGTAGCTTACCCAGGGCTGGGACAAGCTCCAGCTGTGAGCGTGGGCTCCCCCAAACAGAGTTCTTATCTCCTGCTTTGTTTTCCCCAAGGAGCTGGATGATGGCCTGGATGAAGCGTTTTCAAGGTAACGTGAGCTTCCTGTGCTGGACGGTGGGGTTGGCGTGCGTGGGCTGGCCCTGCCACCCTTTCCCCTGGGGATGTGATTAAGAACACAAGCGGCCGGGCGCGGTGGCTCAAGCCTGTAATCCCAGCACTTTGGGAGGCCGAGATGGGCGGATCACGAGATCAGGAGATCGAGACCATCCTGGCTAACACGGTGAAACCCCGTCTCTACTCAAAAGAATACAAAAAACTAACCGAGTGAGGTGGCAGGCGCCTGTACTTCCAGCTACTCGGGAGGCTGAGGCAGGAGAATGGCATGAACCCGGGAGGCGGAGCTTGCAGTGAGCCCAGATCGTGCCACTGCACTCCAGCCTGGATGACAGAGCGAGACTCTGTCTCAAAAAAAAAAAAAAAACCACAAGCCACTCGGACCCCACCAGAGCAACAGACCCATCCCTCCACTCAAATGCTTCCAGGGGCAGGGAGCCGACTGTCTGGGTAGGGAACCCCTTCCAATGTTGTCCAGAGCTGTTAGAAAGTTCTTACTGTTGAGTCAAAAACTATTCCTGGTGACTGCTCTGCCTCAGTCTGAGCTGAGCGAAACACACTGCAGCTCAAGTTGATTTCCTCCGCCTGGCGTGGCCTTCAAAAAGGGGCGGTTTTTTTTACAGGCTTTGCTCTCCAGAGGTCTGCATTTATGAAAAAGGGAAGGGAGAAAGTGCTTAATGAAGCTGTGGACTGTTCCACAGCGGGGAAGGTCAGGCACAGTGGGGAGGTGTTTTGGTAAAGCCTGAGGGTGGTGGCATTTCCCTATTTTCCCAGGGGCCATCCTTGTGGTCCCCTGCAGCTTGGGGACATGCCACTGAGAAGGCTGTGGCTGAGGAGAGGCCTGGGCAGGTCAGGGTTCCAAGCCCTGGGTCCCCGTCTGTCAGGCCTCCCTTTCTCCCTTGAGACCCTCAGCAGCCTCCTATAGCTCTCCCACATCAGGGGCTTTGTTTGGGGTTACGGTCCGCGATTTTTGGTCCAGCGAGTGGGGACAGAGTCAGGGTCTTTGCCCTCCTGCTTCCTCCTTCCTCTTCCTTGCCTCCTCCTTGCCAGGGACTGGTGGAAACCCCTTGGTCCAGCCTGGGGCGAGGGCGACACCTTCCCTGCCTCACTGGCTGAGTAAACCCGCCCTCTGAAGAAAATCTTTCACACACTGTTTCATCTTTCCACACTGTTTTGAGCATCGTGTGCCCTTTATTAACAATTTTGAAAATCAGCAAAGCGTTAAACAGAAAGTAACACCATCCCATAATCCCACAGCTCAGAGTTTTGGGCTTAATTCATGCTAATCCTGTACATATACATTATTTTGCATTGATCAGCTCATCGTATTTGCATTTTGGGATCCTGATTTTTCACTTAACAGCATTGTGTCAGAAGCATTGCTCCAGGCTGTTAAAAACTCCTCGTAAACACCCCTTCCATTGACTGCCTAACATTCTCCGAAGGGAAGCGGCTGTAATTTACTTGACTCTCCTCTATTCTTTTGGACATGTAGGTTGTCTCCCTTTGTAAATTTATTTTTTGAACAGCACGGTGTTGACACAGTTATAGCCAAAGAATCTTCCGTGTTCCCTCCCACAGCTTGTTCCCCACCCCACCCCACCCCTGCCGCTCCCTTTACCAGCACTGCCCCTTCTCCTCTTTCCTGGGCATATCCTGACTGAGCTGGGCCACAGAGTGGGTGCTCTGGCCTCTCCCGGGGGTGGGTGCACCGCTGGCTGCCCCAGACTTTTCTGAGCTGTTTGACTTTCAAGGGAGGTGCTTTGATCTGAGGCTCCTCCACCTCCACTGTACTTGGGGCTTCCTTTTTGGGCCACCTGCCCTGCTGTTCCCCACTGCTGCCTCCTCGCATCTGACCCCGGGGCCCGCCAGCCCTCACCCAGGCCCTCGGCTCACACAGCTCTGCCTTCCAGGCTTGCCCAGTCTCGGACGAACCCTCAGGTCCTGGACACTGGCCTGACAGCCCAGGACATCCATTACGCCCAGTGCCTCTCGCCTGTCGACTGGGACAAGCCTGACAGCAGCGGCCCAGAGCAGGATGACCTCTTCAGCTTCTGAGGGCCCGGGGCCAGCCGGACACAAACGACCCTGACATCTGACGGACCAAAGCCACCTGCTGCGGGGGAGCCGGCTCCGGAACCCGCCCGCCACCTCTCCCAGCCCTCAGCACTGTCAGCCTGGAGATCAGAGCTGCAGCCAGTCAGGCAGGGGAGAGATTTTTTTTTAAGCCTTGCTCTTTCTCTGAGAACCAAAAGATGCCTTGAATATTTATTCAGTGACTTCTGGCTTATGCTCGGAAGCCAGTCTGCGTCAGGCACGTCTCCTGCTGCATGATGTGTGCAGTGCTGCAGTCAGCTCCCGCTTGCTCTCCTGTAGCAAGCTCTGCCCTGGCTGTGGGTATCAGGACTGTGACCAAAGCATTTCTAGTCCCTTCTCTCTCTCTAAGGACCCAACTTTCCCTGGGGGCATCCTGCTTTCTGAAAGCCGTTGGATTTCAGTGATTTTTTTCCCCTCACCCCCCAGCATAGGAGAGCACCCACAGCCTCAGAAGGGGAATGTGTCCTCCTGCTCTCTTTCCTCAGGGCCCAGCAGGCGGGACTTGAGTCCTGGACCCCAGGCTCTTAGAGACTAAGGGGCAGCTCCTGACCAAAGACGATACAGCTTGGCACTTTAAAGCATTCACAGCAGGTGTGGCCCTGAGGGCTCCTCCATGGTGCTGCATTGAATCCAGCTTTCCTTCTGCCCTTCCTCCAGGAGAAGGGGCCCAGGGTCCCCGTGGATGGTCTCCCCTGTGCTTGGAACCAGTGTAACTGGCTGCTCCCCGCTCCCAGGGACTGACTGCGGGGATCATCTCTGACCGCCCTCCGTCGGGCCCCTCCCTGCCTTCTCCCCTGCACGCAAGGCTGTGCTCCTCCTCTGCTCTCTGTGTGTCCCTTTGAGTGTCTCTGCCCCGCCTCCCCATACTTCCTGGGATGATGTGTGAAACCTGACACCTAGATTTATTTGGAAATATTCTATGACCACTTTACAGATGAGGAAACTGAGGCCTCAAGCATGGCGGGGTAGAGTGAAGAGTAGAACCCAGGTCTGATGTCAAAGCTGCTTTCTTCTCTGCCTCCTCCTCACACAACTCACACCTCCTGTGCTTCTAGCTTTGTTGTCCTCCCAGGAACCAAAAAACCCCAGCTATTTTCTGACCAAAATGTGTTTCATAACAAACCATCTGGTGCCTTTCCACACAGAACTGGCAGGAGCCCCGTGTCCTGCTAGCTGTCTCTCTTGTTGATTTCCGTGAAAATGCAGTGTTTGAAGTCTGCTCATGCCGAGGGTGAAACAAAATCCAACCCTGTCAGAATCGTGCTGTTCTCTTTGCTGACACTGTGACCCTGGGTCGGGACATACCAGCAGCAGTCTGTCTTTAGAATCTCTTTCCTTCCTCCCCTTTTGCCCCCGTGGGGCTCCCGGCATCCTGAAAGCCAGCAAAGCCTCCAGCATCTTTGCCATCCTGAGGTGCCTCCCAGTGGCCTGGCTTGTCTGAGCAAGTTTCATCAGCCCCAGGGAAAACACAGCCCTCCTTAGAACCTCCTTACCTGGAGTAACCGGACACCTTAGATGGAGGTGCCTGAGGGTGGGGTGGGATTTGTAGGGTCATTATCAGAATGAGAGGATAACTTTCTTGCCCCAGCTCTGTAGCCACCTCCTTGGCATCAGCCTCTGTATTTGTCATAAGGCGGCGTGGGCGAGGCCTGACACAGGCCAGCCTTGGCACGGGGGGGCCAGGGGTTCTGAGAAGCGCTGCCTTATGAGAGCCACACTGGCCTTCGTCTCCATCTCTCGTTGACGGGCTGTCCGTGTGCCTCCTGTGTGTCTGCAGACAAGTCTTGCTGTGCTTTATTTGTGAAAGTTTAATGAGGAAAAAACAAATAATAAATGTTCTCGTTTTGAAACGCAAGCAGCGCTCATCAGATGGAGTAGACCGGCAGCAGCGTCCGGCAGCTCCTGCCCTTTGGGGATGGCAGCAGCAGTGACTGCAGGCTGGGTGGGGCCACGTGCCCAGGTGCAGCACTGAGCTGGGGGGTGATGGTCGTAGGTTCCCGGCGTTGAAGGCCCAGTGGGGCCCCCTTTTCACCCAGCAGCTGGGTGTGTGTGTGATGAGGTCACCTCTGGATGACTCACGGAGGCCACACCAGGGATCTGGTGCATCAGCTGAAGCGTCTGTGAGCCTGGGCGGGGGACCCTGGCCAGGGGCTGTGAGTTCCCCGCAATGTATATGAGGTTGTGTACGTGTCCACATGGGCGTTTTCCCCAGAGAGGATGTCCGTTATTTCCATCACTTTTTGGATCCGCAACACTTTTTCATTCCACAGCCTTGCTCCAGGCCGAACGTGGACTGGGCCTGGGTCTCAGTACTGGGGACAGGGGTCCAGGCGTCTCCCGATGGACTCAGGATGTGTCGTTTCAGTGTGTTGGGGGATGGTGGGAAGTATTTCAGTGTCTTGGGAGACTCGAGGTCTAGCCCTAGCTCTGCCACTTGGAAGCTGTGACGCTTGATCAGTCACCTCTTCTCTTGAGCCTTGATTTTCCCATCTGTGAAAATGGTGCAACGACCTCCCCGCTTTTACCACCCTGGGTTTTGTGTGACTCAGCAGTGACCATGATCACGTTGTTGGTAGAACACTTGTGCATTCAGGTTATCTCAGAGCCAAAGGCAATTGGAACTCAGTATGTTTAACAATGGCAAGGTAAAATTGTTAGCAACTAGTGTTAACTGAGCTCTTGCTATGCGCCAAGGGCTGTGCTGAGCTCTGCACCATATCAGAACGGTTGTGCTGAGCCCAGATGGTGTTAGATGGCATTAGTTCCCGCTACTGCTGAGAGGAAGTAACGGGAGAGGAAGGCAGCTGTGCTTCCAGTGCCGGGCAGGGCCACAGCCAAGCCTCCGACCTGTGTGGCCCTCACCTCACCATGTCCTGGCCTCCCGGGAGCCCAGTCTGGCCATATGCTGCCTGAGGCCGCCTGGTGACCTGTGCGGTGACCTTCACAGAAGGACCACTCTTTTCAGGTTCTTTCAGCCACTCTCCGGAGACTCCCCTGCCCATCAGCTATGGCTTGTGGGGGTCCCCTTGGGCATGTATCTCTTTATCTCTTTGAAACGGTGGCATTTTAAGTGTCCAGAACCCAGAGGCAGAGCCCTCATATCAGCATCAGGCCAACTCCCTGTGAATTCTCAGTGGATTGTGGATGACTTAAGAAATTCTCCCCTTTCTTCTTTCCCTCATAATCTGAAAATACAGCCAACAAGTTCATCTTTCGGTTTAAATTTGGCCAATGTCTTTAGTCTCCGGATGTCTCGGATTATGAATCCTGAGCACCCGCCGTGTGCTCTTTCATGCGTAAGGGATGAAGCCGGGAGAACAAAGTCGCCTTTCAGATGTGATGTGACCTTCAGCTTCACTGGGTGCGTGTTGGGATCTTCTCTCCCAGGAAGAGATCCTGTCCCATGTAAATCTCTCTGGGGACTTTTCAACAAGCCTGGCTAGGGAATCGGGGCAGATTTGCATCTGGGGTTCCGACTTGGGGCCTGGTCTTCCTCCGGCCTCCCTCCCCTGACCATTCCCAGGTACTGATCAGAACAGGTGCCCGTTTGTATATTAAGAAGTAACCCAGCCAGGTGCGGTGGCTCAGGCCTGTAATCCCAGCACTTTGGGAGGCCGAGGTGGGCAGATCACAGGATCAGGAGATCGAGACCATCCTGGCTAACACGGTGAAACCCCGTCTCTACTAAAAATACAAAAAATTAGCCGGGTGTGGCAGCGGGCGCCTGTAGTCCCAGCTACTTGGGAGGCTGAGGCAGGAGAATGGTGTGAACCCGGGAAGCGGAGAGCTGAGATGGCGCCACTGAACTCCAGCCTGGGTGGCAGAGCGAGACTCCATCTCAAAAAATAAAAATAAAAGAGGTAATCCTTGGGCTTATTAGGTCTTTTGCACCTAACACCAGTGATACTAGTCCTCGCAGCCTCACATGCTACCAGGTAGGTGGTCCTAGTCCCATTTTCCTGATGAGGCAGCTGAGGGTGAAGGAGGATCAACAAGTTGGCCAGTCTCACATCCACTCGGGGATCTGGGATTTGAACCCTGCTCTCTGACTCCAGCGCTCCAGATTTCCACTGCACTGTGCCTCTCCGTGTAGATCAAGGTAAACCCCAACCGAGCTGCCGTGCCCTGCTCTGCCTCACCAGCAGCCCCAGCTACCACGGAAGACACTGGAAGCTGCTGGCCAGTGGGTGTCTCCACAGGCAAGGGCTGACTTCATAGCTAGACACCAGAGCAGATCCCACCTCTTCCCCAGTGGCTGCTCTTTGGGGCCACTTCTCTGGACATTAGTTAAGAACTCCATAGGGGTGTGTCTCATTGCATTGAGACCCTGCTTTGTCCCTAATGGCATTGCTCAGCCTGCCAGTGGGGCCCACAGTGAGTGTTGGTGCCCCTCAGAGAAGGAAGGCTTCCTCTGGGAGGTGAATGCCAGCCTCGGAAGGGCAGGAAAGGAGGGTGCACATCTTGAACACTAGCAGCATCCACACATACCAGCTAGTTTAAGCTGCTGCACAGCACCTGTGCCTGTAGGTATTGTTAGCTCATTTCAGAGATGATGATACCGAGGCCTGTGGAGGTTACATGATCAGCCAGCCTCACGCAGCTATTCGGCGGCAGGCCGGGGACCCGAGCCTGTGTGTTCTCCACTGTGCTGGGTGGCTACCTTTGCAGGCCAGTTGGAACATTGGCAAATCAGGATGACCTTGCTTGCTTAGGAACTTCTGAACCCAGCGCAGAGTAACCTTAGCCAAGTGTCCAGCACAGAGGTACTGGATCAGATGGTGCGTTTGTGGCCAGGACAGATGTGGGCTGTGTCATGAATCCTTGTTGCCAGACAGCAATTCTGACTGCACCTGCTGAGCCCTGGCACAGCCTGTCTCAGGGTGACTGAGGTACAGCTGCCCTTGACCCCCTCGCAGTCCAGGGGTTGTAGTTCATGGTACCCTGGAAAGCTCCCGGGTATGGGCTGGGCTTGCACCAGGCCAGCGGGACATTGGAAGTCAGAGCTGAGGTATGGCAGCTGGGGAAGCCGGGGCAGGCTCCTAGAAGAGGGACTTATCCCTGGTGGGCCTCGAAGGAAGGGTAGAATGGTTGGCGACTGCATGTGCTAGCCTGGGAACTCCTTGAGGACATGCCTGTCTGATTTGCCCCATGGCCTCAGTGCCCAGCCTACCACCTGGCACAGAGTGGCCATCAGTGAGTTCATCAGGAGGGGAGAACCAGCCTGGCTCCCATGAGAGCTGCGAGAAGGCCATGAGAGCTGCGAGAAGGGGCAGCCCTGGCTCAGCAGGCGGCGCTGGAGCCCTGGAGCCCGGGGGTCCATTTTGCCAGCTGTTGGATGCATCCTGTGACAGCTCCCTGGTGTGCACTGGGCTTAGGCACTCTGGGTCTCCATCACACACAGCCCGTGGCGTGGCACACCCATCCCGGTTTGGTAAAACATACCGTGTGGTCCACCCTCTGCCCCGACTAAAGATCTTGGTTTTCATGCTGTCTTCAAAGTAAGATTCTAGAATGTTAGTACTGGGAGAGCCCCTGATGGTTCCCAACCCACCCACTGTGCTTATAATGGGGAGCTGAGGCCTGCAAAGGGCACAGGACTTGCCCGGGACTTACAGCAGTTAAGAGAGCTGGGGTCTGAGCTGTATTTTCCACCGACTCCATGCTCAGTCCTCCATCCACTGGGGGAGAGGAGAGAGAAGTGCCGCTAGAAGGGGGCCATGCGCTTGCGGGGAACTGGATGTAATGATAAGAGGCTGGAGAAAGGACCTTGGTGGATTCTCGAGCATGTAATGAGCACCAGCTCATCATCCGTCTCTCCACTGTCCCCCTCAAGGGCCCCGAAGTCTCATCTGCCGCTCAGGCTGCTGGCCAGACGCCTAGAAGAGGGGGCATGGAGCTGCGGTTCTGAGTGCAGCCTCTGGGGCCACAGCAGTCAGGACTGGGTTTCAATCCCAGACGACCGCTTTTTAGCCGCAGAAACAACTTAGTAGCCTGTGTCTCAGTCTTCTCACCTGTTAAATAGGATAAAGGTGCAGTCCAAACAGAGGGGCTGCTTTGCGCGGCCGGGGGAGGTCAGATGGGGGTGGGGATGACCAGTCTCTCCTGAGGGGTAAGGCCCACCCAGGGTAGCCGAGGTGGGGAGGAGACAGGTTGTGTCCTACCGGCTCCCCTAATGCACCCAGGTGCACACTCAGGCCCGCCACGTTGAGACCACCACATTGTGCCCTCAGGAAAAACTCAACAAACTCCACGGTCTAGCCAGGAAAGCATTCCAGTCTAGCTGTTCCAGTAGGAAAGTATTTAGTGAAGAGCGCCAGATCACAAAAGCCCTGGCAGGGTGAGGGTGCAGGTGGTCCCTGCAGGGGCTCAGGGATCTGGCGGCTGCTGCTCCTGCAGGTCCCGGTGGCTGCATCCCAGGGCAGAGCTGGCCTGAAGCTGCTGACAACAGAAGTTGGAAAGAGGTGTTTTGCAGACATCCAGCCCCTGTGGCTCAGGAGGGCACAGGGAAGGGAAGGGAAATGGTGCTGAGATGCAGCAGACCCTCTGGCACCCTACCACCCCGACACTGTTGGGGGGCAGGGAGGGTAAAAGAAGCTGGGGGAGGTTAGCCCCAAGAAAACCTGGCTGCCACACCTGCTGTGTCAGGAGCTATGCCGAGGCTTTGCACACATTATCATGTAAGCCTTAGGATAGCAACGTGAGGCCGTGAACTGATCTGATTGAGATGCGAAAAGCTAGGATAGCACCCCAGGGCTGTTTCATATGGGTGGGGCCTGCTCCTGCCTCTCCCTGAGCCAGGCTTGGGTCAAGGGTCATTCATCCAATGCCCAGCAATTGAGTGCCCACTACATGCCA